CAAAGCCAGGCTCAGTTTCCACAGAGACCTCTCAAACATCAAAACAATCTGCTGTCCGTCTGCGTGGACGTATGGGAGGGTTTCTGAGGGGGCTACACTTGGCACTGGGCCACTATGCTGTTAAACTCTCATGACACAACCACAGAACATACAGTAATTGATCCCCTACAAGCCTGACAGAACTGAAATCACACAACTGTACAGATTTGTGAGAAATTTAAAAATCATTCCACAATATAATCCGCAGCTTTGTTCCTAAAAACATTTTAAATCTGCCTCAGCTGCTGAGAGATTCCTTGATTTGTGATCAGAACGACAACCATAACTGTCTTGACCTCTATTCGTCCACTGCAGTGCCCCTCTCCCCCGTCAGCGTGTGTCAACACCTCACGACTCAAACCATCTTGGATCTGGGTGCTGTAATAGCCCAGTTGGATACGGACGCCGTGTTCCCATGCAGCTGGCGTTTCATGTAGCTTTAATATCAGTGGCTTATATCAAGAGCTCATTTGCTGCACGGGCAGCGACATCAAACACTTCATTTCCACTTTCTTCACATCAAATTTGCGAGTTTGATGAAATGCAAAAGGTCCAGCCGGCATGTTGTAAAGAGATGAGGCTCTTAAGTTCTCTTTCAACTTCAATAGAAGTATAATTTGTAAGAAATTCATTTCATCAACTGACATTACAGAATAATATGACCCCACTCATCCACTTGATGTGACAACAGAGCCAAACAAAAAGAAATATTGGCCATTATTCTCTCAATAAAGCAGGAGCTGCCTCATTGGCTTATAGTGGGTCAGTTCAAGTTTACATCACCATTACAACAACATCCCATTCTAATTCTATGCTTCACTGTTACACAGAGCTGTGTTATTTGTTGGCTATCAACACATAGGTCCCTGTGGTGAGGCGACTTTACCAGGTGAGAACTTTCAAACAGCATCACAAAAACTGCAGCGTCTGTTTAATTATACAGAAAATTGAAACCGCTGCAACTCATTTGAAGCCAGGTGTTCTCCCGTGGACATGTTACGCTAAAATTAAATGGTGAGATTTCTGCAAAAATTAAAAAAATTTCAGTCGTGCTAATGAAATAAGAGGAGGGACAGAGAGGGACAGGAGGAAGTCATAAGTGAGAGGTTCACGACCACACGCTGAAAGGTCACTATTTACTGGACGTCCATGTAGCTGGAAAATAAATGGTGAAACTGAACCTGCTTCATACCTTTTATTTTTTGCTCTGTTGCTGTCTCCACCGGCACACACACAATCTTCTTCTTCTACATTAGTGAAGACATTGACTCATTGGATAATCCATTCCCAGGCCACTTAACCTAAACCTAACATATCAAGTAAATGTCTAACCCAAAGATAAATGTCTGTCGTTAGTACTTTACTCACCTGTGGTGTGCATACATGTATATATAGTTATGTCAAATGATCTTAATTAAGTCAAATAATATCCTAAAAGTACTTCTCTTATCATGAATTCTATTTATTTATTATTGCTGTTCATTATTATTTATTCTAGTTTATTATTTATTTTCTATATTAATAGCTTTTTTTACAAGAACCAAAACTCCCACTGCCCTAACTGCGCCTGTGGTTCTTCCCCTGTGTAAGTATTTGATTGACTTATTTATTCATTCATTTTATGGTGAGATTTCAACAAATCAATCATGATTTTAATGTGGGTTTTTTAACTTTTACCAAGTGACTTAAACACTCACAGTGACCATGTACCCGAACTCCTAAAAGCACTAATTCAGAGGGCTGTGTTTGAACCCCTAACCAAATCCTGATTCTAACCCTTGCAGCAAGACTTAACCCTCACACAGATACTTGAAAAAACTCAGACCGGCTAAAATATACTCACTTTATACTCCTAACATAAGTAAAAGCAGACACATCCACACACAGTCATGCCTCCATGATTTAGGATGACATTGCATTCAATTATATTGACTTCCTGATGATTTCCTGTTGATTTCCTGGTGACTTACTCAAACCTTAACCTTGACCTGAACCTAAACCTAAATCTAAAAATAAAACCTAACCTTAACCCTAAACTTTAACCTTACACTGAACCTTAACCTAAAACGGGACTTCATCATAAAATGTAATGATTCATGTTATTGGTGCTTGGGTCCCCATCATGAGAATTGTCTTGGCTACACACGGTCTTGTACTTTTATCTTAATGAGAAAACTCATTGATAATCCTGTTCTCTTCCCTCAACCTTAACAATCACAGCTAGATGCCTAACCTTTGTGCTGATGCTACTCACAAACACAAACACACATACACACACACACACCTCTGCACATATCCTGAACAACAACTGTAGACCTGTATGTGTCCATTACCACTCTGGTTCTAATGAATGATTATAATCATTCACATTTGCAGTAACCTTCCTCCATCCCTGCTGGAGAAAAATGTGGCGGACAGACAGATAATGGTGTAAACAGAGCCAGAGGTACAGATCTCAGTGAACATCAACCGTCACCCCTCTATAAATCTGTCAGACTCAACCACAACAAGGTTTTTAACAGGCTCTATACATAGATAGCACAGCATGAGGCAATGAGCATGCAATGCTAAAATCCTTTCCCTACAGACCCAACCCTCTGAATTCAGATTTGGAGAGGGATTGTTCAAACACTGACGTAGTGATTTATTCTAGGGATAGGGAGCATGATATGACGTGAAGGATAGGAATACATACAAAACCTCATGGAAATGCTGCTGTTGGATGTTCATCAAAGAATCTTTTCTTTTGTTACCATAACCAAGTAAATTGTGTTTTCGTTTGTTTGCCTGTTAGCAGGATTATGCAAAAAAATACTCAACCGATTTCCATGAACGTTTCTGGAGGGGTGGGGCTTGACCCAGGGAGGAATTTTTCAGATCTGATGGCAGATCATGGAATAGTTTTTTTTAACTTCAACATTCCACGTTACACACATTGTTGTTTCTTTCAGAGGATAATTGATGGATGAGGCACAGCTAAGATACACTTAGATATTTATGGTTGTGTGCAATTTGGCGCCAGTCCAAATGAAAATCTGGATCTAGTATATTTAAGAGAATTTAATTTAATAATCATAATCATAAGGAGACTGCTTGGCCGGCGGTTTGAACTCCCACTCTAGGTGCCATTTTAGTTTATTTAGTTTAATCCTATTTTTACGAGCACAGTTGCAGATCTCTTTCAGATTATTACCTCCTCACTAACCACATGAATACTGACATGAACTCAATAAAGTTCTATCTAATCTCATGAGTGTAGATATTTTCTGTGTATTTAGAAAATCCCTCTCCCACCACGAGATGTTTATTCATATGTTTAAAGGGGATACACTGTCAGAGAATCACGTAACGGACTCCCCCAGTCTCTGTGGTGTTTCCACACCCTGTTATGCTTTGATCTCTCTCCACATGCCCCATCCAGAATATCTAGCCACGCTGAGGCAACTGTGTTTTCCAGCCCCTTCACAGGGAACTGGCTGCCAGTCACACACATGGCCCTCCAGCCCATACATGTCTATCACTGCAGTGTGTGTGTACGTGTGTTTTCTCAGGGTGTGTGTTGGAATCACTCGTGGAATGCGATGTGAAATGTCATACTCTGTGTTTCCATTAAAGGCCCCTTATTGTTCACGAGAGGATCTATGAGTTTGTTTCTCTCATTTGGAAATTAAGTTCTTAATCTTGGTGGTCGAGTCGTGGCAGTGTATCCCCTTGCTGGCAGGAAAAGTGGAAAGTGAGGGAGTCATAGACGTTGATGAATGGATGGAACAGAAAAATTAAAATAGCAGGACAGACGGCACACAGGCATGTGTAATGTGACAAGTGAATGTGGTAACATGAGGACTTGATTGCAATTGATTTCTCTGAATGTGAATTAGCGAGAACTCTCTCATGGACAGTGATTTACATAGATCTGTCATTCACACCAGTCAGTTGATGATGAGTTGGAGGGTTCACATTTGTTTGCAATGAAAAAATGAAAGAATAACACTTAAAGGTAATTGCCTGGCGCTTATTTCTCAAACATACAAATGAATTAATTTCTTCTCAGTCAGGATTTTTTGAGGAAAAACATCAACAAAATCTGTATCACAGAATAACCTATAGATCTATAAAAAGGTCAATTTTGTGTGTGTGTGTGTGTGTGTGTGTGTGTGTGTGTGTGCTGGCTTGTGTAAAGATAAGAGCCCATAGCTCTTTGGCAGTCAGTGGGATGTGCCTATATAAGGCTGTTCTATTCCTACTGCTTTATCTCTGGGGATCTACTGCAATTGTCACTCACGGGACAATGCATGCCTCAGAAATATGGTTAGGCCTCTCCAATTTATATTATATCATAAAAACACACTTTCACCATTTAAAAAAATCTAGATAATTAAATAAATGTTTCAACTAATACAGTTTTTTCTAAAGTCTTGTTTGTAGTCAGCGTCTCCAGGTCCTGAGGGAAAACATAACTCCACAGCTTTATGACCAGAACCTTATGCTACTGTAAGAATGTGAAGCTCATATTAATGGAAGTAAAAGTGAAGGCGTCATCCTCCTGATTGACAGGCTCATATGATTCTTTATTATGGTCTGTACACATGAGCTAAAAAGTTTCAGAGGACCTTTGACCACACAAATGGTCCCTCTTTTTTTCTGAGCTCACGCCGTCCATTAACAGAATAGAAAAACAAAACCCTCCCGCAGTCTTTTAAATCCTCTCCTCCTATTCAGGGAGCTACCAAATCTGGGATGACCTTGTATCCGGCACGGGATCACTGTTGACGTTCTTCTTCTGAAGGATTTTAATTGTTTTTGCAAAAGCGATTTGCAACATGTTTGTTTTATGTGCTGCTACTCTTTGATTGTTTTTTACATTATATTCCAAAGGGAAGTTTTGGAAAGTGTGATGTGCTCTTGTGCCTATTTGCAGGCCAACTATAAATAGTCCACCAGCCTACGCATGCTCATGTTAGATTGGAAATCTCTGTGCCTTAAGTCAGAGCTGTGGGGTATCAGTCAAAGGAGGGAAAGACACTTGTGAATGGTGAGTAAACTGTGAACAATAGACAACTGAATGCTGTTTATGTAACTATTGACCAGAGCAGATCATTTAGTGTTTTTCATGTGATATGGAACTTTCTTTTCTACACATGCGTTTGTATCTTTTTGTTTCTTATTGTCACATTATCATTGTTCATGTTTTCACTCTTTTTTTCTCTCTTAGCTTGAATTCATCTCCAAGAAAAGACAGAAAAAAAGTGACAACACAAACGTTTTTTTCCTGGAGAACTTTGTTTTTTTCCTCCTGTCTCAAGTGTCTGGTGAAAAATGGGTTCACGGAGGGCACCGACTCGCTCCACTTCTTTGAATGGAAGATCCACCAACGGGGATACAATCGTTGGCAGTAGTAGTAGACCCGGCAGCTGCAGCTACCTCTCTAACGTGAGGCCAGAAACCAGGTACAGATTCTTCACTGACTCTGTGTGCACCGTAACACATCACCACTTCATGGTTTGCCTAACCTGGGAGGAAAGTGTGCGGCATGTTATTTCTTTGTTTGTTGCCATGGTCACCGGAGTTTAAATAAACTGCTGATTAAGAACAGCATCTCAGTTATGCACCATGGGGCTCATTTCACATCGAGCAATCCACTGACAACAGCTCCTGCATGGAAAGATTTGTTCATGAAACATGAGCGTTGACCTTCAGGTCTTTGTCTTTTATGATGTGTCAATCAATAAATATTGATGGATTCTATGGTTTATGTTTTAGGGCAACATATTCAGGTATGTTGCCCATAACCAGTGGGTTTCCCATGTAGTTTTACCTCCAACTGTGTTGGATGTTTTCATTGCCCTTTGTGTGTATTTGTCTGAATGGCAGCCATATTACTCAAAAACCAAACCAAAAGAACCAGTGTTTACAATTTTGTGGAGGAGTGGAACATGACCCAAAGAAGCACCCATTATATTTTCGGGTACATCTGGACTAACTCTAAATGGATCCAGGAATTTTTTATTCTTTCTTTAACATGGCATTATAGGGCCTTAGCCTGGTGGAGGAAGCATGTGGTGTCCAGCACCCCGTTAGTGATCTCTGCCAGGGAGGTTAAGTTGTATTTAGCAGAATTACATTTTTTGGAGGGGTGGGGCATGACCCAAAGAATAATTCATTAAAGTTTAGTGTTGATATCTAGAGAATATCTTATTGATTTTAAAAATCTGGAAGATTTAGGGGACTGATATTTGGTGCAGATCCAAATGAAAATTCAGATCTAGTGAATTTAAATCCTACTGAGTGTCATTGTAGTTGCATGATAGACTATACATTTTTTAGTTTTATTGCAAAATTATCATCTTGTTGCAATTGATATCAGGAAGTACCAGCTTATCATCAGAAAACCATCTTTTCAACCAAAAACAAGACAATTTTCAAGTTATATTCAAGCTGATTATTACAATTATTTCTGTTGCATGTCTGTGGATCAGCTTTGGATTCCATGAACACAAACATTAGAATGAAGTGCACACATTAAACCATACATATCATGCCTATAATTAACAAGTGTGCCTGTTTTCATCGTTACTGTCTTGTTTTGTTTGCTTAATCGTGAGCAACATGCAGTGAAGTGTAACCCTATCCTTAAACTGTGCACTGACCCAGCACTGAAATGGATGTCAACACCAGACACGGATCAACTGCACTTAATACAAGCACCATAATAATGATCCTGTAGTGAGCATGCAAGCCCCAATCACTTTATATTATACTGTGATGTCCATGTGATGTTTCTTCAGCATTTCCACTTGCTATAATGGTTCAATATTCTTTAACAACACTAATTATAGTGATATGCTTAATTTCTGTAATTCATTTCAACTCGTGTGATGAGACCTCCAACTTATCACTCTGGGCTGTGCATTCTATTTTTGCTTATGTGGTCTGAGGAAAAACAATAAATACGCACGATAGATGTGGTTAATGGGAACAATTCACATGTGATGTTTTCCCCCCAAATGTGACATTTGATGATCAAATCAGCACGTTTAGAAAAATACAATTAAAGAATGATCTTGATTTTAATCTCCCAAATAAACCATATAGCTATAAAGAGCCTGTTACTTTTTTCTTGTCATACTCAATCATAAGACAGCTACACACAGTCTGTACAATCCAGCATGTAGATAGATAGATAGATAGATATATAGATAGATAGATAGATAGATAGATAGATAGATAAATAGATAGATAGATAGATAGATAGATNAGATAGATAGATAGATAGATAGATAGACAGATAGATAGATAGATAGATAGATAGATAAATAGATAGATAGATAGATAGATAGATAGATAGATAGATAGATAGATAGATAGATAGGTAGGTAGATAGATAGATAGATACTTTATTGATCCAGAAGGAAATTCAAGAATGTATGGAATTTAAAAATAACAGACACAGCTACATCATCCACTCTGCCTTGTCTTACAGGAGCACATTCTCCAGCGTGATGGCACAACTGACCGAGGAGACGCAGCCCTCCTTCGAAACGACCCTCAAGTCTAAAGCCGTGTCAGAGAAATGCCATGTGAAGTTCTCATGTGTGGTGACAGGTAAACACATGATTCACACATCTTACAGTTTAAGGCCTCGTGTGAAATAGTCAAAATATATTACAACCGCGCACAATAACACACTGTGCTCAATGATTCTAATTCATTCTGAATAAGATGTGAAGGTATCAACTAAAAGGAAGTAGAAACACACAATTATTAAAAATCAAAGGCTCAATATACACATAATTTTACACTTACTGAGCTTACTTGCTTTAAGCCATTAATAAACCAAACTGATACTTTTTTTCATAGAGAAATTCTTTAATCACCACCCTGATATCCTGAAATGTTGTTTTTTTTCCAGGATACCCAACCCCTTTGGTTACTTGGTATAAGGATGATGTGCAGTTGGACAGATACTGTGGCCTGCCTAAATATGAACTATTCCACAATGGGCAAAACCATTCCCTGCATATTTACAAGTGAGTATGTTTCTAACCACTAATATGACACTTGTTCTATCCAGATATTACCAAGATCAACATTGTATAATTCTTTTCATACTTTACGTTAAGAAAAAACACTACACAGCAAAGGACAATCTGATAGTGACAAAAAACATTATACTAAAGCATTGTTTATATTATTCTTATCTTTCTGTATAGTCAAACAAATATTGAGACTGTCCAAATCTAGTAAACAGAGCTTGTTATCAGTGCTCTTATCATCAGTGTTTACTTTTGGTACATCAGTGGTTTGCTTGATCTTTTTGAAATTGATGTATTTTATTTTAAATTCTTCTTTTGTAGTTGCACTGTGGAGGATGCAGCTATATACCAGGCCTCGGCCATCAACAGTAAAGGTATCGTGTCCTGCTCCGGGGTTCTGGAGGTGGGTGAAATGAACGAGTTTAAGATCCACCAGCGCTACTTTGCAAAGCTCAAACAAAAGGCTGAGAACCGGCGCAGGGAAGCAGAAGGTAAAGAAAACCAAGAGCCGCTACGAACTATCAGTCCCGACCGGACGCAGAGGAAACGTCGCTCCACAATGGAGGCCTTTCTCAGTATGCCGAGCTCCACAGAGGATGAGGGCATTGAGGAGAGCCAGCAGGCTGTGGCTTCAGAGACCGAGGCCAGATTACAGAAGGCCACTGTGGAGGAAGTTGAGGAAAAGCCAGTCACTAACGGACAAGTCGTAACTGAAAATGGAAGCAAGGGCGAGACACACATAAATGATTCTGCGCATAAGATTTTCTCTGCGCAACAATCCAAAACTCCCTTTGTCAAGAAGAAGATAAAAATTTCTAACAGTGCAAAAGTTGCGAAAGCAGATACACTGGAAGGGTGGGTGTCTGAGGAAAAGAGAGCAAAGGACGAGACCTCAGCCTCTGCAGCTCCAACCTGCAGAGATTCAGTACAGAGTAAAGCTAATCCAGAAGAGGTTATGGAGGTAGAGAAGATTGCTAGTCCACCAATTGTGGATTCAAAGTACAGAAGCATGACCGAATCACATCACAAATCAGCCGCAGAGAAAGCAATGCTTGTTAAAAAGCCTTCAAAGGGTAATAAGGTATGTCATGTGCCTTCACAGATTGAGCAGCTCCCTGTTTCACTATCTCCTGCTGCTCTTACATCTGAAGGTCAGTCCCTGTCAGGAACTGGGGATAATCATGTGGCAAAGCATGCAAATGAGGCTGGACTCAGACGCCAAAAGGAGAATGTGGAAACGCAGAAACAAAGTCCCAACCTCAACCTCAGTGTTACTTCAACACGACAGTCAAGTGTTGCACCAACACTCCTAAGCACAATTAAGAAGGACGCTATTAAAACAGATGTTACAGCCATGGAAATTGATGAGAGGTCGGATAAGCCCACTGGTGTAACTTTGGGACACAAGGACATCATGTCAGGGGACACACCGTGTGAAATCAGGGCTGCTTCGCCCGAGCGTCCATGTGAACAGGCTGGAGATAAGCTGTCTGAGAAGGAAACAAGCCCCTGCCAAAAAAGTGTGCCAGTGTCGCGACCCGTCCTGCGGAGTGAGGTGAGCGCTTTCACATGAGCTCATGAGTGCTTTGTGCTGCCAACACAGGCTTCATCACTAACACAGGCATCCCGGAGGCTATTTATAGCTGTTTAATGCTGTGTGACAAAAATTAAATGACGCACGCCTTGACAGCTGCTTAAGGTAAAGCCATGTGACAAACGAGAGGAAAACCCCAATTATTGGCTATTTGTTTTCAGATGAGAAAACATTTTTGAATAAGCTAAATGATGACAGAGAACAGATATTTCAAAGCTAAAACTTTTTGACAACAATCATCCTTAGATACATAGGGGACAATAAAGAAGTTCTGATCTGAGCCTCTTAGTTAGTCATCTGGGGTATAAGGAACAAAACACTGTTAAAGTTAAAGTTAATGCAGGTATTAATAAACTGAAACCAAAGAAATTGACATCTCACGTCTATTGGAAGCCAAAATTGAGCAATGGTGTGTAAATAAAGAACAAGTATCTGTCTAGTTAATAACTTCAACATAGGATAAGTTGTGAAACAAGTATCTTTCTAACTGTAAATGTTAAACGCTGCTTCATCCAATCCACCGACACCAAGATATGCTGTTGTCCAGGCATGATTAACGTGTGGTTTAAATGTGAGATCAGAGTTAATGAATTTACTTGAAAATGAAAAATTCCTATACAAACATTAAAGTCCTGTCCACTTGTAATATCAAAGGGCACTGGAGCACACAGTGGACCAACACCTCACTGAGACACTTCATGTTGCTCTTTCCTTTATTTAGTCACCTGACTGTGCATTGATGCAGCACATTTGACATTTTCAGTTCCGAGGTGTGAGAGAAGACCAGGGCAGCATTTCTTAAGATAGAAATGTTGTCAGAGTAGCAGGGGATTAGCTTAGCTTAGTACAAAGACAGGAAACATAGGGGAATAGCTATCTTGTTCCTTAAAGGACCATTTTAGTTGGTTTTACACTAAGATTTTGGTTTGAATCAAACAAACAAGATATAATGTGTTGATCCTTGAGCTTTAGTCAGGCAGATTTAGTTTCCACTGAATGAAGCCGTACAGGGTGTTCCCCCCTCTTTTCATCCTCTGTGCTATTTTAAACTAAATGGCTGCAGGCTGTAGCCATCAAATATATATTTAATCACCAGATAATAAAAAAGTGTATTTATTTTCTAATCAAGTTCTTTTCTAGAAAGTATTTCTCAAAATTATTTTTGAAACATCAATTAGAAGTAAAATGGATAGTGTCGTGTGGACAATACAATGCAACTTTATTGATCTTGAAGGCAAGGTTTAGGGCACCTTATAGACAAAACAAAATACAGACATGCACTGATCAACATCAATAATAAAATACTAAAAGTTACGATACATAAATACCACAAATGAGTGCACAAAGTAAAATAAAATAAAGAAAACCTTTGCTTGTGTTTCACTGGAAGATTTGTATGTTACATGGCTCTACTCACAATCCCTTGTAAACATTTTAATGCTCTGGGATTGTGAATCTTTATTGTGCTCTGCTTATGCAATCGTCCAGGCCTCAGTGACATGGCTGAGCGCTGAGGGCACTGAGACCTGAGACAAAACACAGCAGAGCTGACGCGCCTCTTGAAATGACTCACATTCCTTTCTGGCTACACTTCAATGTAAAATAGCAGTCTGGTTTCTGAATAGGCCTCACCATGAAGGGGAACAAGCTGAAATACAGTTTTATATGTGAACCTAAAAGCTGAACATTCTCACAATCAGTTCTGTGGTTGCTTTTTGAGGCACAGTTGAATATTAAATGGAGTATAAATTTGGAGTCAATGTAAAATGAATGCACAGTGCCCTCAGAGCAGGACAGACCACATGCTACAGTTACTAACTATATCTTTTCTTTTTGCTCTCAGGTCCTCTCATTCCTTCCTCTGTTTGTTTCATGGTTAAGCTGTTGCTGTTTTTAAAACTACATGTGTTTATCCATGTCCTGCATAGCTAGGGATAAGGGACTTACAACATGGAAACATCTGCTTGTGCTCTGTCCCAAGGTTACTCAGGCCCGTGCAAAGAAGAACAGGAATGATGCACCTGTCAGCCTCGAGCCTCCACCGGGCCAGAGTACGCTGATGGCTCCACCGCCACCAAAGACTCCTTCAAAAAAAGAGACAACGAGGAATGATGTGCAGACCACGTCTGTGCAGCATGGTCTTCAAGCCCCTATTGGCAAAATGTCACAGGACATTATGGATCATTCCAGAGGATCAAATGAAGGCCATAGGGTCCTTTTGACAGACTTACAGAAGTCAAGCCTTGAAAGCCTGCGTGGTGGTGAGAACACCCGAGAGTGTAATGTTTCACCCGGTGCCCTCCAGAGCCAAGCTGATACGGCTATAAAAACTGAAGGCACAGAAATACAAGTGATTGAGAAGGTAGAGGTTAATGAGGTTAGTAAGGAATTCATGCAGACTGACAGTGTGGCCCCAACTGATCAGATAGTTGAAATGGAGACCGAAGCTGCTGCTCCACATGTGGTTGAAAAGAGCAGAGATGCTGTAGATAAAGACGCGGAAGTTGAAATTGTGGAAGCTTCTTCCAAAAACAGGATTGAATCAAAAGTGGTGGAAGAAAATCGTCCAAAATTACAGACTCTAAAGCCCAATGTATCTGAGAATGCCACGCCACAGCTGGCAAATAATCCAGAAAACACGCTGGAGCAAAGTATAGCCTTCAATGAAATTCCTAAACCTGTGTCAAAAGTCATATCTATCGCTGAACTTCTTAGATCTCAAATAAAGGCACTTGATCCCACCCCAGCAAATTCAGGGCCAGTTAAAGAACCAACAGCAGCTGCTACAGAGACATGTCGGGGATTGAGACACGATGATAGACAATGTACAGTTGAAGTGAAGAAGTCGGTGCTTGACAGGAAATCTGAGACTATTACTGATGATACTCCCCCATTAACTATAAAGGAAACACTTATGGAGGTGTATCATCTACTCAATAAAACTACTGAGGAGCAAATTCATCTTCCTAAAACATCACCACCTCTTCAGGCGCCACAGAAACCAGATGTTATGGACATATCAGGAATTTCTTGCAGTGCTAAAAAGTATAATGAAAGTGTTGTGGCCACTGGGCAGGAAGCTGGAGAATCACATCTGGTTCCTTCGGTAGATTGTCCTCTTGTTTCCCTCATAAGTCAAGACAAACTTCCTCCTTCAACTGCTAAGGTTGAACAAGCCAACAGACCAACATCAGTTTCAAACCTCACTGGAACTGTCAGCAGTGGATCTGGGACTATAAGGCCCAGCAGTCAGAAGTCAAATATTAACATTTTGGAGCATGTCCAAAATGAACCTGCTCAAGCCAAAGATGTGGAAACGATAAAAAGGTTAACTCCAGAAATTAAACTCAATGGCAAGCCTGAAAAGAGGATCACTGAAATGAATTCCTCAACACTTTTAGATCCATGCAACATGAAAGAACATAACACAGACACCAGTTATTTGCAGAGTGCGCAAATCTTTCCCACTCAAAGTTTATTAAGCACAGAATCACAAGAGAATAAGCTACAACTTCTTCAGCAGGACAGCTCTATGGTTGAGGAGTTCTCAAGGAGTGATTCCTTAATCAGTCCAACTCTTGAGGCCAGCCCTTTGCTAAAGAGAAGAGACTGTGTTTCACCTATTCCCTCTGCTACGCCACAAGAGCTGGCCTCTGGGGCCCGCCGCAAAATCATGGTACCCAAGGCCAAACCAGAGGAGGCCACAGAGGCCACATCACCTGTCGATGACCAAGTTCAGAAAAAGGAGGATTCTACACAGAACAACAAGCTTTCCACGAGTCCTGTGACCCCCTCTGTGTCTCCAAGCCTGTCCCGACGGTCTGCTTTACTTCAGCCGGCTGGTGAGCGGATGTCTCCTGTAGAAAGGCGGTCTCCTCTCTTGAACAGGAGAAAGACAATGTTAGAGACCGAAGCCTCAAACCAGCAGCCGACTGAAAAGATCAACAACCTGAAAACTGAAGAACAGGGGAAACCTACAGAGAAGGACAAACACGACCCATTCAGAGGTAAAACTGCCGTCATTTATGAATATCATTTTTTCAATTGAGTTTTTGCTTTTCTGATAGAAACAGTTGTGTGTATATTTACATGATAGTGTTTAGAACCCTGCAGTAATTGTATTAAATTAGATACTGTGGCAGACAGCAATGCTGTTAGAGTCACCTGAGACATGCTCCACAAGGTCCTTAAAATGTATAACTAAACCCAAAACTAGATATGAAAGAATATTTTTTTGTACAGACTGATCTAATTGTTTTTGGAGGGTATATCTGTAGTGTTTGGATGTATGAAGGATAAAGCACAAGCCAGATGATAATGTATTTTAATGTTGAATGGGAAAGCACCTGCTCCAACATGACGTACTGTGTAAAAACAACATCCAACTCTTTGCACCTTTTTCTACGGTTCATTAGCTCACAGCACCACCTAGCAGAACTGTATAACATATGTATATAGTCACTTGAGAGGCACTTGAGAGTTTATAAAAATCAGATAACAATATATTACGTGATAGTCAGCAACATATGAAGAGGTTTTGAATTTGACAGCTAAGTTTTGCTTTCAAAATTTTAATAGATGTCTTATTTTTCTGATTTCCTGTACTAACAGGAAATAAAGTAATTTTTTTATTGAATAATAAGCTTGAGTGATGAGATGAGATGAGCTTTCATCATTAGCATATGTGTATAGGGCATTATCTATATACTTAATATCATGAGGAGGAAACTGAGACATCAGAATGGAATTGCAGTGGGTTTACTGACATTTTCTTACATTGCGTACATTATATACGTTATATATATAAATATATATATATATATATACATTATATATGTATTAATATGAGACGGGAGAAGTCTGAGCTCTCTCTCTCTCTCTGTGTATCTTTACCATGTTTGTCTGTCTCTGCCTCCAGCTCCTCAAGTTATTCGCAAGATCAGGGCCGAAACCTTCACAGACGCCTCAGGACACTTGAAACTGTGGTGCCAGTTCTTCAATGTTCTCAGAGACTCTACAATCAAGTGGTACAAAAATGAGGAGGTGATCACGCAGATTAAAAGAAAGTGAGTTCTCGTAAACTAATAATTTTGGAAATGTATTATTCCTCATAAAAATGTTTTCTGCATGGTTTAAATAGAAACAAATACTTTTGAAATTACTAGAAATGTGTTAATTTCAGGTTAAATCAAGACTGTTGTTGTCTTACAGATTCTGTTTCATATGTCACGTGTTTCTCTTTCAGTGCAGGGGATGAGACTCAGGTGAATCTTGCCATTGTTCAGGCATCATGCAGAGACTTTGGTGTTTACGGATGCTCAATCACAAATGAATATGGGACGGACTCAACCGACACACTACTTAGTGCAGAAAGTATGTAGTCTTCTTTCCATCTGGCATCAAAGTGTACATTATCGTTGCATTACCTGTTAATAGCGCCTCACATTCTGTTTTTTTACTCTCTCAGTTATAGCAGGAATGTCCCTACGTGAGGATCTTGGTGGTAAGATAAGAGTTTATATGTCTTCATTTTGGTTTAATTTGTCCCAGCCTGACATGCCCATCTTGCTGCTCGGCCTTGTAACATCAGTTTGCATTACTATCATTATTTCTGTGCAGTTGGAGAAGAAATCGAAATGATGCCCCTGATATTCACCAAGGGTGTGGCTGATTCCAGCGTCTGGGCCAACAAATTATTTGGCCGTATAACGATGCAGGAGTCACACATCGGTTATGGCTGCTCTCACAAAGTCTGGAGGGCAAAAGTCATCTACGGTCTGGAGCCTGTGTTCGAGTCTGCTGACACATGCATCATCAAAGTACGTAACCCTATCGCCTATGGAGGCAAAGAAGAAAGCGGCCTTATAGAAAGAAACCTGGACATCATCAAGCAGGTACATAGGGATGGTTGGATTTCATAAATGATCCATGTCTTCCTAGATTAACCAAAAATGTGTTAAACAGTAAGCTAACAATTCTGGCTTCAAAGTGAATCATTCCAGTGTTGGTCCTGCCACCCATATATGGATAACTGTGGTACTAATTTAATTAAATCTAGATTTATCACATTTACTTGTGTGGGTTGAGCTCATCTTTACTGGCTATCCTCCAATGTTCTGCCCACAGGATTGTAAAATTCAGAACTTGGCTCGTGAATATTGCAAAATCTTCTCCGCTGAAGCAAGAGTGATAGATAATTTTGGCTCCTCTCTTGAGTGAGTATCTTCAGTTTAAAGTTATAACATTTCGGGTGTTATTTACAGCGCATGACACACATCACGACTATCTTTGTTACACAGGGTGATTCCAGTTTACCTGATGTACCGACCAGCAAACACTGTCCCCTACGCCACAGTGGAGGCTGATCTGACTGGAGTCTACCAGAAACACTCTGTCCTGGATCACACGGGCAGATTAGAAATGAAGACTGGAACAGAGGTGGAGCAGAAATGCTGTAGCCTGCAGCACTGGATCTTTCAGTGGACCAATGGCAACCTGCTCCTCACTCGACTGGAGGGTAAGTGACACCTGACCCCAGCAAAGCAATGTGAAGTCATTGAGACTACATGATAACCTGGGACAGAGGATGCTGTGAAACAATCACTTCCTAATTCACTTTGTTTGTGTTAGAGTTAATATATATCCTTTATTTAACCAGGTAAAAGTGTCATTGAGATTCAAATCAATACAAACACAAACAATACAAACAAATGCTGCTGTCATACACTACATACACAAGTACAATCTTCCAAGCAGGATTTCAAAACAAAATGTATTTAAGTGTCATCTTGAAAACAAGGAATTCCACATGTGATTGGAATGTTAAGTTCAGTACGTCTCATCAAGGTAAAATACTGCATGCAGTAAGGAAGGAAAGAATTCTGAGCTGATACTTCATATTTTATCTTCCCAACCTTCATCCAGAAGTCAAAGAGAATATTTTATGCTGATCAGATTTTAAGTATGCTATGTGTTGTGAAAACAAGACATGCTTAAAAATCGTTCTAATGCTTTGTTAGACTTAATGTGGAGTAAATTCATACTGCATGCCTGTCACGTCTGAATATATCACATGGACAAGAGAAAATAAAGTGATTGCATGGTTTTGCTTTGCAGGTGTTGACACCAAAATCACCAATGTTGGGATTTCAGTCAAGTCCACAGGGTTAGTATATTTCCATTGTGTTGTTTATGTAAATTATGCTTTGAAAACCTCATTTTACAGGTAATTTGATTTTTTTCCTACTGATGATAAAACTGTTTTATTTGGTTTTTGTGTGTGTTTCTGCAGGCATCAAGGTTTATCTATTGAAGGGAATCCCAAAGTTTTTGAACAGTTTGTCTCCCAGCACCAGTGCAACTACTTCTGTGGTCTGCTTGGGCTGAGGTCACTGAAAGTCATAGACTCTTTGCTGACACCGACAAAGCCCAAAGGCTCCAGGAGCCCATTGCTTCAACGCAAGATGGCTGCTGGTTCCTCCAGCCCCCAAACAGGACGGAAAGCTGCTGGCAGCCCCAGACTGCCGAGAAAGGCCGAGCAGGACGGCACGAAGACCCCCACTAAACAAAAAGCTGCTGATGCTCCCATAGTTCAGACAGGCTCAGAATGAAGATCTTCACAAAACCCCAGGAGGAGCTGGGGGGACGATAGACAGCTGAGGAAACCCTTAGAGACCAGGCAAGGGGTTGAATAAATAATAAGACTTGATTTAATTCTAACAGCTACCATTCCTCGTCATGATCGCTAGTTGTGGACTGTTGCCTTCACATGTGTGGTAAAACTCCACAGGAATTTATGTTTAAATGCTGTGACTGAAGCTGTTGTGTAATCAGTATTGGTTACTCCTGGGTTTGTATTCGATAAATCCATGAAGCCTTGGTTACAGATGCCAGTCAGAGGTTAGTGTTTTTGTACAAGTGATGACATAAAACATTTTGGACTGAAGTGGCATTATGTGCTGTCCAGTCCATGTGTATTTATTAATGTAAGAGCACAAATTGTATTCTTTTATAGTCACCTTTGTTAATGCAAGAAAGAAAAAAAACAAGATATATCTGGTCATGGAGCACATTCTAAAGGCTGGAAGAAAATAATATTTTTTTTCCATGTATTAATTAAAATGTAGCTTCAAAATCACACTGTTGTACAGTGGCTGGTGCTGCAGAGCTTTTATATTGTACGCTGCCATGTTTACCTGCTGCTACATTGCACTGCGTTTTTAGAAACTGCACCTTTAAATGCAACTGGCTGTAAAATAAAAGATATATTAAGCTTTGTACATTCGGAGGAGTTGTTAAAATGCATGACATGTGCTTTTTAAATTCTAAATGTCGTTCTTAATATAAATTATCATATTATGGAGCGGGCTGAGTAACATACGCCATCTCGCATTCACTCATTATCATATATATCGTCAAAAAAGATAAGAAACCCGGTGTCATCTCAGTGACTCTGATTATCTGAGAGGACTCCGACTCATTTATTACTGGTATCATTAACATGCAACCTTTATTTATGAGCTTCTATTTTAGGGAGATTATTTCAGAGAATTGTACAACAGCACTTTAACTTTATCTTCCCCAGTGACATCAGAATTTTGCAAAAGATGGAGAGCTGATCTAAATTGTAGAATTAAAGTCTCTTCCGTAGCATGGAAGTGGATCATACATAATGCAAAGGTCATTAAGCATCAAAATTAAAGCCTAAAGCTTAAAATAAGATTGAGAGTCCATAGTCGTGTTTGCAGCTCTGGGAGTCAGATCAACAAATGAAGATGGTCTAAAACTAAACATATGTTCCTGTTTTGCAGCTAATAAAGGTTTAAATAATGTTTTGAGGTTTAGTTTTATTTTCCACTCTCAGATGAATTTGATGGACAGGTCATTTACTTTGCAGGTATTAAAAATTCAAAGTATTGACAAATAAAAGTCTGACCTGACGCAAAGGACAGGAAGGCAAGTGATCACTGAACTTAACACTTAATCTTGAGGGTGACATGAATGTGTGCAGAAGATTTATTAAGCATGCCATCGCATGTTAAGCACTACCACTCAGGGGCAGACCGTATTCCTCCGCACATACTAGAGAAGGAAGTGTTTGCAGGGTAAAAGGCTTTAACTCCATCATGATAATCATTTGTGATTCCCAGTCATTAGTGAGTCATAGTTTATGTAAGCGGTGGCCTCATGCACACATGTGTGAACAGTACCAGGAAGCTGAAGGCACGCGTCGCAAAAAAAAGTTCACTCAGCATCACTTCTGATGATGTCCTTCAGCATTAGATCAGATGGTGTCAACAGTTGGCTAGAGATCACAGGTTTTAGTGTGAAGTAGCTGTATGATCCTGTTATACATATTTCATACATACACATTTGTGACAAGCTAGTACTTAATTTTAATCGTGATATGTCAACTGTGTTGGCAATAAGACAAAATTAGCTTTGCCAGAAAAACACAACAACAATTTTGTAACAAGCTCTCTGATCTCCTGTCTCCTGTTTTTAATGCTTTTGAGCAAAGGAAATTTCAAAAAAGAGATTAACCCTCTACATGTTAATTGCCACCACATGTCCACTGATACTAGACCTGGTCCATTCCATGCACCGCTCTGTTCAGGGGACGTGAATGTGTGTTTGGACAAGCCACACAGGAAGTATCCTGGATGACGTCTCCCTGAGGTAACAGACAGGATCGAGTGTGACTGAGGCGTGATAACAACAACGTAGAGGAGTGGGGCTCTCATGACACAAGACGCTCCTGCCACCTACTGTTAGTTCAATCACCTTGCCACATTGCCACTGATGAAAGAAAGATAAAGAGAACATCCTTCTCACTTGCTGCAGTATCAAGTCTTTTATTTGACCAGAATGACTGGTTAACCTGTGACAGTGGCAAAGATGTTCAAAGCATTTCTTAGTGTATGAATCATATCTGTTAAAATGAGATAGGATTGTTTGACAGATGATTTGTGTGACACTGAATTTTCAGGCTTTAAATTGGTAATTACAAGCAAGCATAATTGAATACAAAGAGAAAATAAAGAATAGTACAAAAACACGTCAGATTCATAGGTCCATGTCAGTATTAATAAATAATAAATAAATTACAAAATACAGCATGGAAATACAGAACACAATCATCACACTTGACGAGCACAAAGGAATAAAACACAAGCAGATTTGTATTCCTGTGCTTCAAAAGACAAAATAAAATGACGCATAACATTCCTGAGTAGAGAAGGTGGGGACATATTGTTCTTGTTTGCATTCGTCCATCTTGGAAGCTTGAACAAAATTCTGGATACCTCATCATCTGTCACCTGAATATGTTTTTTACATCAGCACAGAAAACTAAAAATTTGCATGCCTACATGTTGGCTTGTGCATACTTTATACAGCACTGCACACAACCATTATTAATTAAAACTGTGATTAAAGTATTAATTATACTTTTTAAATAAAGTATTTAGCTTAAGTATTAGGGTGAAACAGTGGTTAGTGAGTGGTTACAACTGTCACCTCACAGGTTTGAATCCCGGTGGCAACTATGTTCTTACTGTGCTGAGTTTGCTTGTTCGCCCCGTGTCTGCGTGGGTTTTCTCCAGGTACTCCGGCACACAGTCCAAAGACATGCAGACTGGGGTTGGGTTTAAATTGTCCATATGTGTGAGTGTGAATATGTTGTTAGTCTTTGTATGTTGGCCCGTCCTACAATGACCTGTTCAGGGTCTACCCCCATAAATGCCCCGTCGTAATTAACTCTGTCCATAAGCTTGTCTTGTTTAATTTGTCTGAGAGGAATAACATCAGACAACGAGACATACCTTAATCCGACTTTTTACAGTAATGGAACAAATTCTGAGTGGAGTGGGGAAATTACAGAGGAAAAATGCACTGGCACAGCTCTTCATGCTGCACTGTGTCGCTCCGTCATAAAGAGCACTGGCTCACTGGGAGTAATCTCAGCATTGATACCCATGATAAGACACGGCAAATGAGAGAATTGCTAGTCCCCAACTGAAGGGGATTTTGCGTGTATACTTCAGGACTAAGTAATTGCCATTTTATTTAATAGGACATAATGTTGAGTTAATGCAAAGCTCTCAGACCCAGAGACTCGGTCTGTGGCACATTAACCACGCTTGCAGCATTCAGCCTCACATGCAGGCTCATTATGTGGCAACATTTAAGAAAATGCTCCACACAAAAGATCATATTTGCATTTCAGTGATTGTTTGGACAGATTCCGGCAGCAATGGCAACAGGTAGGAGAACGTTCAAGCAGACGTTATTTATAAGATAGTCCTGTGGCACAATCAGTGTGAGCTCATTAAATCAAAGGCGCGTAACTAAAGGGTGAAAACAGAAACAGCGACTGGCAAGTGTGGTTTCTAAGAACCTCCCTCTTACAAGGCTGCCTGTGATTCTGTGACCTCACATCGTTGTGCCTGGCTGACCTCAATTACCATTGTCGTGCCGAGGTAGTTGAGACCATTTAGGCAGATTATATGAAAAGCATCACACGTCCCTAAATGTCACAGACCAGTTGGCATTTGAAAAAAGTTTTATCTTCAGTCCTCCAAAAGTCGCCGGTCGCCGCTGCTCTCGGAGCCATCGCCAAGTTGACTGTCAGTGCTGAGCTAATCAGATAGCTTTTGCTCTGCGTTATTTCCTCCAATTGGAAGATTCAAAGGCTAACCCTGAATTAAGTAAGTTGTCTGAGTACTGTATACAGTATAGCCCCAGGACTAAAAGGGGTGAGCTATCCCCATTTTCATCAATTCTTGAAGATACCATGACCTGGATAACTGAGAACCTTCCCTGATGTTTGCAAAACAATCACCAACAAAGAAATGTTGATTCAACTGTTTAGCATGAAGCTCACAGTCACCTCTTGTGAGATCTGGGTGTTAAAGGTTTTTGCAATATCTGCAAAATACCTGTAGGCTATTGACTGGAATCTAGACTTCTAGGGACAATCATATTCAAGAGGTCTGTAACAGCTCCAGTGGATAACAGTAAATTACACCTACAACATATTCATTATATTATAATGGTTCTCACAATATAACACAGTTCAGAAAGGATCAAAACACAAGCCTTTAATGTCATTAGGAGAGCAGAGGATATCACCTCATAAATATTGCCCTTTGCACAAGGGGAGGGGGTTAGTGATGGTGGGGGTTGTGACCTGGATGAATCACTTTATGTTATATTCCAATAGATCCCTTTCACCCCTAAATCTTACACACTGGAGGACTGATGAATAACTGACCCATGTGTGTGTGTGTTCTCGTGCACACAGAACAGATTGCACATACTGTAACTGAAGCAATTTGTTCGAAAATTAGATATATATTATTTCTTAACACAATACCCTCATGGAATTGAAGTAACTTAAGTCCTTGGTTGGAGTAGATTTGAGGATTTGTGATTTTAAAAAATTAATTGGCCCACCCAAAAAGACATTTTAATATTTCAAATATAGGTAATTTCCCAATCACTACATTAGTCTGACACGGGCCCTGTTATTATACGTGTGAACCCCTGCTGACGCTTTGTCACAGGAAAACCAAACATCAAAACACAACTCATCATACCAGTCATATGAATGGAAACATAATACATGACTTTTCCAAATTCAACATATGTGTTAATAATCCCCACAGGTAAACAAACCAAAACTGGTTGGTGGCTTTCAGGTGTGTGGTGACCAATTATGATATCATTCAAATCCAGTGGAACGCACTTCCTGTAGGAAATTAGATGTGCTCCATGATAAAATAAAGCAGTTAATAATTAGTTGTAATAAAAGCTTGGCACTTGTCAGCAGAGATTTTTTTCTTTTGTGAGTCGCATTATGACAGCGTTGCATACAAGAGCGCCCAGATGTTAATTAAAGCTGTAGTGGAAAGTAAACTCATCTACATTCACTTTAGACTCTGTTCTATTTGCAGAAGAGAGTTTACCAACGTTTAAAGGAACCTTTAAAAATGTCGTAAATTATGAATGCAGTGACTGTTGTGGATTGATTTACACTAGCTACCCACTGAGTCATTATATCCACACCACTGATTATAATCTTTGCTTCATCTGACTCACAAGAACAGCAATCAGTATTTTTAAAAGGACACTTATGGCTCAGATGACCATAAGTGATCTGAAGTAGGTTGTTGTAACATCATGTCCAGAGAGAATCACCTGATTTATCTCTATAGAGTGTTTATGTGTCTATCAGCTCATCATTTAAAGTTTTACTTAAAAACCATCTTAGTTTCGTCACACATCTCCTCCTCATTGGCAATCTTTGTTTCGTTAAGGGTTCAGTCTGTAAGATTTAGGTGAAAGGGGACTATTGGCACAGCTGAATATAAAATAATCCTCATGATGTCTTCACTAGTGTGTTGTAGGAATTATTGTTTTCTTTACCCTAGAATTGGCCCTTTATATTGAAATACTTTATATTTCCATTGAGGGGGGCCCTTTCTACAGTTATTTACAGTCGTCCAAACAGGACAAACTAAACATCTTTTGAGTTTTTATGACAACTTAAGGCTTCCACAGGTTCTCTGTCATGTTTGGAAGGAGAGGGTGAGGTGAGATATCACCACTATATATCACTAAATTCTGCACACTGTACCTTTAAGCTAACTGCTAGCAACAAAAAGCAATGTTCTCTAATAAAGAGATCACAGCATATAGCAGCCCAAGTCAGATACTTTTTTATAGAAGTAACCTATGTGTAAA